CTCAAAATGGATTAAAGACCTAAATGCGAGAGCTGAAACTATGAAACTCTTAGAACAAAACATTAATCTCTTTAACATCCACCTTAGCAAGATTTTTTTTTTTAAATAGACCTCTGCATGCAAAGGAAAGAAAAGCAAAAATAAAAGTTTCTATTGGGACTACACCAAAATTAAAACCTTGTTTTATACAGCAAAGGACACCATTAACAAACAAAACAAAAGGAGAACCTAAGGAATAGGAGATGTTTGCAAATGATATATCTGGTAAGGAGTTAACATCTGAACTATATAAAGAATTTACACAACTCAACACCTACAAATAATCCAGTCAAAAATAGGCAGAGGACCTGGACCAACATTTTCCCCAAAGAATACATCCAGATGGCTAACAGATCCATGAAAAGACACTCAATATGTCTCATCATTGGGAAAATGCAAATCAAAGCCACAGTGGAGTGTCAGCTCAAACCTGTCAGAATGGCCATTATTAAAACAAAACAAAAAAACAAGAACAAATATAGGTAAGGATGTGGGTAAGAGCGAACCCTGATGCACTATTGATGGGATAGTAAATTGGTGCAAACCCTGTGGAAAACTATAGAATTTCCTAAAAATCTTAAAAGTAGAAATACCGTATAATCCAGCAATTTTACTACTGGGTAATTAGCCCCCCAAAATGAACAAAATCATTCAAAAGATACATGCACCCCTATGTTTATTGCAGCACTATTCACAATAGCCAAGATACGGAAGCAACCTAAGTATTGATTGATGAATGGATAAAGAGGATGTGGTGTGCATGCACACACACATGGAATATTACTTAGCCATGAAAAAGAATGAGATGTTTTCATTTGCCAACAGCATAGATGGACCTAGAGGGTTATCCTAAGTGAAATAATTCAGATCAAAAAACCCAAATACCACCATATGATTTTGTTGATATATGGAACCTAAAAAACAAAACAAACAGAAAAACACAGAAATGCCCATAAATATAGACAATAAATGGGTGGTTGCCAGAGGGGAGTAGGTAGGGAGATGAGCAAAATGGTAAAGGGGAGTGGGAGGTACAGGCTTCCAGTTATGTAATTAATAAGTCACAGAGATGAAGGGTATGGGATAAGTAATATAGTCAGTGGTATTGTTATAGCATGTGGTGACAAATGGTAGCTACACTTGTGAGCATAGCAGATGTGTAGAGTTGTTAAATCACTAGGTTGTACATGTCTGATGTAGCATTGCATGTCAACTGTACTTCAATAAAAATATAACAAATACACTTAAAAAAGAAAATTAGAGAAGTCAGTCATCCAGTAGGTCCTAAAATTTTTTTACTGTTTATTTTTGAAGGGGAGAGAGAGAGACAGAGAGAGACAGAGAGAGAGAGAGCGAGCATGAGCCAGGGGAGGGGGAGAGAGAGAGGGAGACACAGAATCTGAAGCAGCTCCAGGCTCTGAGCTAGCTGTCAGCACGGAGCCCAGCAGGAGGCTAGAACCCATAAACTTCACAGATCATGACCTGAGCTGAAGTTGGCGCCCAACTGATTGAGCCACCCAGGTGCCCCTCTATTAAAAATAAATACGTGAAGTTGGCACTTATTCTTAAAAAGGGCTGTAAATCATTTTCTCTCATGCTTACAGTTAATAATGCATTTGTGGAAGTTTTGCTTCCTAGCCCTGTGACTTAGATCTGCTAGATTACATGCCTTAGTTTCCAAGGGAGAAATGAATCCTCCAGGGAATACAACAATGGCTCCCTAATCACGGAGAGACCGCTTTGTGGCCATTTGGACTCATCATGCCTCTGAATCAACAGACTGCTGTTCTGGCTCTATTGGCCAAATCCCAGTCTCTAATTACTGCTATACAGTGGGGTGGACCACGTCTGAACCCGGGGATTCTCTGACAAGCAGATCGGTGTAATGGAAGCTTGAGGCAACCCAATAAGGCAGGACAGTTCAAGGATGGTAAGTTCTACGAGCTGCAGAACGTGACCAGGCAAGGTGCTGGCTGCAAACAGGAAGATTGTAGAATGATCTTTTAAAGAAGAATGGTTCTTTTAGGGTATCAACTCAACTCAGGAACAGCTAAGAATCAAGAACCATTTGAGGAGGATTCGTGGTGCTTAACTTTACAGTGGGAGCCCGGTTTATCCTGGAGTAGGTTTCCTATGAAATGCTGTCTGGAAAATGCTAGCCTAAGGGGCTCAGAGCAAAATATTAAAGAAAAGTCAAAGCACAAGTGACAAACTGAGAGATTAAATACAGATAAAGAGAGTATCTTCAAATATAGAAACAATTAAAGATGAGGGGGAAAAAAGACAAAAAAGGAAAAACAACAACTTGATAGAAAATCAGACAGAAGACAGGCGAATAATAGCATTCACAAAAAGTTAGACGAAAGGCTTTTAAATATTTGAAGACACAACTTCGCCAATAAGAAAATTCAAAGCACATTGGGATACCATTTCTCACCCACGAGCTTAGCAAAAATTTCAAAAGCTGAAAAAGCCCACCGTGTTGGCAGGACTGAGGGGAGGCAGGCACCGTTACAAACCCTCTCAAGGTAAGCCCGACGATGCTGGACGTCAAGCGTTTACCCTTGACTCAGGAATTCCACTTTGTGGGCTACTCTGAGTGTGACGTCATTTCCTGATTGGGCCAGAAGAGAATTCTTGAGACATAACTCAGGAGGCCCCCCGCACAGGGCTCTCTCTTTCATCCGCGCCCTGAAGCTTGACGGAGGGACCTCTGTGGTCGGTGGCTGGCGGGCCTCGCCACGCCGTGGCCATCCTCTCTGCAGCCCAGCGTTCTTGCGTGGCCAGAGGAAGCCTGACCTCTGCTCCCAGGGTGGGCGGGCCTTCCAGGCAGCCTTCCTCCCCGTACCCTTGGCATTCACGTGGCACGGCCATAAATTATGCCCGATGTGTTCATTTTCAGTTTAAATGTGTTCCCGTCCCAGAGGAACAGCTAATGGCGTCAAGTTATTGATGTGAAAAGAGCCTGCCGCTCCAACCTATGGATTAATGAAATAGCAGTCCTGGAGGCTGGGGCAGCAATAAATCGTCAGCCGCCGGTGACATGGCTTTTAAATTATGTTCTCTGTCCCCTTCCCCCTTCTCCAAAATTAGTTTGCTGTAAAGATGCTCGCTAGATGTTTACCACTGCTTACAAGTTTACGATCTATGAAAGTTGATACCAGCGGGGCCCCTGCCTCTTAAGGGCCCTTCTCTCAGGCGACGGGAAGTGAGCTGAGAGGGATTTAAATGCTTGTCATGCTTTTTCGAGGAGACCTGAGGGCAAATCTCTTTGTCCAGGATCATCACTGACTGATAAATTTCACTCAGAAAATTGGCAAACACAAGAGTTCTCTCAGCGAATTCTGCTCACTTGGTGTGTGAGTTCCTACCCCGACCTTCTGTTATGGCTTTTTCCTTTCCCTAATGAATTTAAAATGACAAGCCAACGTAATTCCCATCAGTGCTTTCGAAAGGTAGCGTATCTATTTCTCATTAGGCGAAGGACTCCAGGGAGTCCACTGATGGGCCACGGAGAGCTTAAGAGTCCCTGATCCTAAAAGCAAATTGTTCATAAGTGTATGGGTTTCTAGAAAGAAGGTCTATGAATGTCATCAGATTCACTCAGAGTTCTGTAACGTGGATGCATAGATGGTCACAGTGCCTTCCTCTCCACATTTCCATGCCATGCAGCGGGATGACTGAGGGAGGAGGCTCTCCCCCTCTCCCCAGACTCTGGGCTGGCCTTGGGAATGGCTTGGCCCATGGGATATTGGTAAATGCGACACAAGTAGATACAAGAAGTGCTCGCACCCTGGGGCTTGCCTCCTTGTGCTCCTGGAGTCCCGCGGCCCGGTGCACAAGCCTGGCCACCCCAGTCAACCTCGTTTCCCCAGCTGACCCACGGGCAACTGCAGACGGTGGCGTACCCAGCCAAGGTCAGCCACGCCTGGGCCAGACCAGGACTGTCAGCCCCAGCGCTAATGTATAGAATCATGAATAAGTGTTATTTTGAGCCACTGATACAAATACACCAAACAGTATGCGTTCTGAGTACTAACTTACTCAGTCTTTGTATTGCCTTTTCCTAAAAATACAGTAACCATTCAATATGTATTTGTTGAATTGGGTAGAGTTGGTTGTTCATAAAGACTGAGATGAAGCCACTCTCTCAAGGGGACTCAGTAAGTCAGGAGGGATTCCAGAGCGCTGACGCTGGGCCTCAGTTTTCTTACGTATAAAATGGGCTTCAGAATACCTACTGTGTCACGCGGCGGTGGTTATTAGAAGCGCCACGTGCCCCGGAGATACCCGTGATACTTGACTGCGGCTGGAGCAGAGGCCCGCTGACAGCAAGGTGCCCAGTGCCCTGAAAGCCCGACCCTGAGTGCATTTCCACGATCAGAGCAATTGCCAGGCACTGGGCCAGTGGACTCCGGCTTCCCTGCCGCAGAGTAAGGTCGGTCCCTTCCAGCCTGATCGGGTGTCCCCGTGTCACTCTGGCAGCGCCTGGCCCTGGCGTGGCCACGTGGCCGGAGGCCCTGTCTCTCCCTGCACGAGGGGCCGTGACCCCATTGCCCAGAAGCCGCTCCTTTCCTGGCTTGTGGAATACGGCGCGGATGGGGGGAGCCTCCCTGGGAACCCCACCGCTGCCGGAACCAAGAGCTGCAACTCCTGCCTGAGCCCCATCTGACCCAGAGGGACCGAACTGCTCACAGGGCCACGGAGCCTTGAAACAAATCACCTTTTCCTGAATTTGCCTGATGCAGAAAGGCGGAAAAGCAAGCATGGGATTGGGAAGTGAGAGGAGGCGGCACAATCAAGCCTGATTTGAGCTGTGTGCAGGCTGAGGGAGCCCCGAGACGCGAGCCACACGCCAAGCCACAGATGGAGGGATCGCAGAAAAAAAATTCCAAGTGAAAAAAAAAAGACCTATACAAAGGGTTACAAAATGCACAGAAGAGTTATACACAGAGCTGCAAGACATTTGAAGAAAACATTTATTTTCCATGAAGACTTCCTGTGCTTCTCTAATAACACCTAAAATGACTTCTTTCTAGGACTCGGGATAGAACTTTCTGTATTAGAGGTGTAGTGGGGAGTAATAACGGACACACATATCATTTACTACAAACAGTAAAGAAAACACCTGAAGTTCTGCTTTCTTGACAAAATGGACATTAAGTTTTTGCTTGTAAAAACATTGACCAATTATCCCCCAGATATCGAAGGAGGAAGTTCGACTTACTCTGCCATGCTTTTACTAGAACGTTCTGGCTTTCGTGTTGAGCTGTTGAACATTATCGTCGCCAACGAGTAAGCGAAGCAAAGAATGACCAATGGCAGATTCAGCCAACCTTTTTGTATTTATTATTATTGTGCTTCTCTACAACTAATGATTCTTGTGGTTTGCATGTGGTGTGTCTGCCTGTTTACCCACACACACACACAACACACACACACACACACACACACACACACACACACACACACACAGCCTAGCGTTTGCGGCGGGGCGGCCGGCACAACAGGGCGGCGTGGGTGACCTCCACGAGGCGTCCGATGTGGGTGTGAGCCGTCCCTGCCTCTGCCTGTGCCCCCTTAGGATGCCCTTATGTGGGCATCGCATTCTTCTAAGAGCAAGATGAGGTCTTCGATCAGGCTGTGCTCTCTGCCGTGCGTCACTCTCATAATATCAAACGCCTGTTGGAGAAAGAAAGAAGATGGATTATGTTAGAGCAGGCGGTTAGGTAGGGTTAGCAGGATGCCTGGAGGCCCACAAAGGGGGGGGGTCATGGCCAGCTCTTCGAGGGGGCGGTTAGAGACCTGCCCGGGCACCACTCCAGAACAAAGCCACAAGCAACTGGATCAAGCCAGGCAGGCCCAAGACGGAGAATGCCAGAACCTCAAACTGCATAAGGGAGAAAGGGCACGAGACCCTGCTCCCAAGAGATCCCCTCCTCCAGTGAGAAGTAGCCCACCCTCCAGTTAACAACCATCAATACGGGACAGAGACCTGAAGCCCGGCACACGCAGCTCTCCCCTGAGCTCGCCTTCGCTCACATCTTGAGAACACACACTCCCTTTAATAGACTTTCCTACTTGCTCCTCTCAACCTGTGTGTCTGGTCTGTCCTTGAATTTTCTCTTACGGTGAGACCCAGAGCCTTTAGTGACACCCTGGGGACAGGCCGGGTGGAGGCCTCAGGGTCCAGGGGTCTCCAGGGTCCAGCCAGCAGCATCTTGACCTGAAAGGAAGTGGGCCCCTCCCCGCTCATCTCTTTCCCATGATGCTTAGCAGCGTGGAGAACCCATGATCTGCAGGGTGAGCAGTGCTGTGAGTCCCCAAGCCACACAGTAGGGGCAGGTGAGTCGTTACTGTGGTGTTTGTGGACAGCACACTCTCACCGAGTTGTGCCAGGTGTGGTGTCCAACAGCAGCCTTCAGGGGTTGTTACTGCAGGGGCCATGGGGGCTTAGGCTCAAGGATAACCAGTAAAAATGATGAAGTAGTGTTAAGGACGAGATGCATGCTGCCATCACCTTAAAATCAAGCTTCATTGCTGCTGCTGCACTCAGCTCTCATCTGTGTGCTGTGCTTATGATGTACCTGCATTTTTATATTCTTTTCACATCCTATTACAGTGTCAGCATTTGGACAGTCGCTTCTTCCACTCCCCGTGTCCCATTCTGCCTCTGTAAGATTTCTGAAATCTGGGTGGGCTTGTGGCCACATCAGTAAGAAGAGGATAAGGAACACATCGGCTTCCAAGGCCGGGTTACAAAGGCCATGCAGCCCCTGCCTCGTGCTCTGGTATGTTCGCTCCTGCAGACAGGAGTCGCCAGGTTGTGAGGAAGCCCACGCAGAGGCCGTGTGCATGTCCTCTGGTTGACTGTGCTCGCCGAGCCCATCTTTCGAGACATCCTAGCCTAGGTGCCAGAAACATCTGGACGTGTCCGGGGGTGCCTGGCGGGCTCAGCTGGAAGAGCATGCAACTCTTGGTCTCAGGGTGGTGAGTTCGAGCCCCAGTCGGGTATAAAGCATCCAGGTGACTCCAGCCACTGGCCAGGAGACAGACAGCTTTCCGTCTTCCTTGCCGAACCCCAGACATTGTAGAAATGAGGCAAGCCGTCCCTGCTGTCATCTGCTTCAATTCCTGACCCACGGAATCTGTGTTGGTGGTTTTACTCTGCTAACCTTTGGGATGGTTTGTTATAGAGAATGATATTTGTGCAGGGAAAGTCATCATGAGCTGCCCAGGAGGGGGCCAGCAGGAAGGGAGGGGCACGGGTGCCTCGTGCTGAACGTGGATGTGTCTTCACAGGGCCATCGGCCTTGGCTGTGAAGTGTTACCAACCAGGGGACCTCCCAAGAGACACTAACGCCCAGACCGCCCCCCCCCAGGTCTAACCAAACCCTGCCCTGGGGGGTGAGGCTGGGCTTCGGGGGATCCTAATGTGCCCTTGGGGTTGAGAATGACTGGTACAGTACGCGCTCAACAAACACCAGCAGCGATTTATTATTCCGTGGTAATTTATAGCCAGCATAATTACCATGTTAATGGCTGTGTACAATTAATTCTATCATGTTTACAGACCATAGTTCACTAAGCTACTCTTGGAAATTTAGATCACTTTCAGTTTTTGACAAAAACTGGTATGACATAGATACTCCAACTTTTGCCTTTGCCGAATATTGGCTTAAGATAAATTCCTAGGGACTCCTGGGCATGAAGAGAAATTCCTAGGGACTCCTGGGACCTCTGCAGAGAGAGACGTAAACGCTGGAAAACTACGGGGTCGCATGCTCAGACCCCTTCCTTCTCTGGGGGAGGAGACGGAGAGCCCGGGGAAGCTAAGCGGCCAGGCCCGGGGATGCTTCCAGCATGTGCTCCTGGCTCCTCGTCCTGCGTCCCCCGCACGCTGCGATAAAGGGAAAGAGGCAGGCAGAGGGGTCTGCGTGGAGCTGCTGGGGGGGAGGAAAGAGACCGGAAGGGGAAGAGCCGCCAGCTGGGGCCCGGGCTCCAGCCTGGAAGACAGCAGTGCTCCTCACGGAGTCCAGACGCCACCCTGCAGACCGACAGGCCCGTCACCCGGTGACATCCCAGCTGGGAAACCCAGAAGGTTCTGATTACCTTGAGTGGGCCTGGCCTGGGGGCGGGGGAGGGGAGGAGGTGGAGGCAGCCCCCACCCTGTCCGAAGCCAAGCTGAGATCCCTCCAGACAGATCAAAAACAGAGGTTTGAAACCATTCTGGGAACGAAGGTGTCCCATTTCATCCCCCTGCGGGCTCCGCTCTGGGTCCCCTGTCCATCTAGACCCCTTAGGGCCGAGGCAGAGCGGCCTGAAGGCAGGGCTGCAGTGAGAGACCCGAGATGCGTCAAGTCTTTGAGGGGAGCGCCTCTCACTCGAAAGCTCTGGGACGTTCTCTGCCTTCTGCTCAGCAGAGGAAGATGCAGGGGCCGGAAGCCCGGGGGGACGCCTCTCCCCACGCAGGGAGACGCCCCTCCGCCCTGCCCCCTGACGCGCGGTCCAGACACCGGGCAGGCTCCGGCGGGAGGGCTCGCCTCCGTCCCGGGGCCTCCGCTGGCGGGGCCCTGGCCTTGTGGCCCAGGAGGGCGCCCCGCCCGGCTCCTCTTGCCTTCCTGGTCGTGTTTCCCCAGGTGTCTCCCCCTGAGATGTCCTGTGCTTCTGGCTCAGAGACTAAGTGACAAGTGTCCTCTCCACAGCCCTCTGACAGGGTGAGGCTGCTGTGCACGCCTTCACGCCTGCCTGCCTCTCCTCCCGCCATCGTGTTCACTCCCTTCCCCCTTCCAGCTTTATGTTTTGTTTTCTTTTTTAATTTTTTTTTCCTAAATATTTTTTATTTCTGAGAGAGAGACAGACAGCATGAGCAGGGGAGGGTCAGAGAGAGAGGGAGACACAGACTCTGAAACAGGCTCCAGGCTCTGAGCTGAAAGTCAGCACGGAGCCCGACGCGGGGCTCGAACCCACGAACTGTGAGATCATGACCTGAGCCGAAGTCGGAGCTTAACCAACTGAGCCACCCAGGTGCCCCTGTTTTTTAATTTCTGAGAGCGAGAGAGAGACAGCGTGAGCAGGGGAGGGGGAGAGAGACACAGATCCGAAGCAGGCTTCAGGCTCTGAGTTGTCAGCACAGAGCCCGACGTGGGGCTCGAACCCACAAACTATGAGATCATGACCTGAGCCGAAGTCGGACACTTAACTGACTGAGCCACTCAGGCGCCCCTCCCCCTTCCAGCCTTAAAACTGAGGTCTGCACCTCGAGCTAAGGTTAGTTGTGGCCGGTCCGGCGCCTTCCTGCTCATTAAAGGGGCGGCCCTGCTGGGACAGGCGCCGAAGCGCCAGTGGGAGGCTTGTGGCTGTCGGGCATCGGGAGCCGCGGGCAGGAAGGGGCAGCTGGCCTCCCCCCGGCCTCGCTGCCAGGCCTCCGCGCCTGCTTCCTTACCAGAAGGCCACCACGACCAGCTGGCCTAGAGTCCCCATGTTACAGCCTGACGCGTGGGCGCGGGGTGAGTGCCGACTCTCAGGACTCGAGTCAGAGCTCCCTCCACGACCGCACCATGCGGCCTGCACCCGAAGCCAGTCTCCATGGCCAAGGGGAGGGACCAGAGGGTCCCTGGACCCGGACGTGGCTTCTGAGACATCCAGGGGGAGCTCCCCAGTCACGGTGCTCTTGGTGGCGACTCGGGCAAGGGAGGCGAACGTGGGGCAGGAGCAACCTCCGGGCATTACGTACAAGGCTCGAGACATGAAGAAGAGTTTATGCACAGGGGTGGCTGGACGCAGAGAGCGAATGGGTTTAGCTGGGGCACTGGGCTGATGGGAGGGCTCTGAAAAATGATATGCAACATTTGTCCAGAAGATGACACCAAGAAGTACAAGGACCAAGTGGACATTATAATTTCATGAGGGATGGCGGGGTGGGAGAGAGCAGGCGGGAGAGGAAGAAGTAGGATCCATGATGCGCAGAGTGCGTCCGAGCCCGTGTTGTGCATCTGTGTGGATGACTGTCCCCCGGGTGGACGGGCCGTGAGGAGGGGCACAGGCCTGGCGATGGCCTACCTACCTGGCCCTCGTCTTGGGCGTCAGCGGGCTGACCTGTGGGCTGGGGAACGGGCCCCGGTGATGTAGGACGGGAGCACCCTGTGGCCGTGGGCCCACATCTCCTCGGGGGCCACAGCCCTTCAGCCCAGCGGGACGGCGAGGAGGGCTTTCCCCCCCAAACCGAAGTTACGGTAAATCCCTGACAGACCAGAGCAACTGTTTCCTGTTGCTCTGTGTGTCCCCTCAGACCCTCCCACCTGCCCCGCACGCGCACATCAGACGGAAAGGACAATTTTAATTTCCTGCAGCGGTATATAAAACAGATTAAGGGAATATAAAATTGGAGCCGCTTGCGCTGGGAAAAGCTTATCTCTTTACATTAAATTTTATTTTTATAATTGTAGCATTTAAAAAGAGCCTCCACATCATCTTCCACAGAGGACTCATTTGAAGCCCCGAAGGGGGGTTGTCGCCCCATGTACTGACTCTAAATGTCACACGAGAAATGGCAGCACTGACTGACTGCCACAAGACATGCGTGGGTCATTCAGGAATAAAGGCCGGGCCCCAGGACTGATTTCAATCTCATCATATCTTTTTTTTTTTTCCCTGAGTAATTTTTAAATTGTGGTCTTATG